ATAAAGAAGCTTTAAGAAATATACCGTTTATCTAACTCGAGCTTTAAACTGTCGATAGCACGAAACTACAACAAATTTTTGCAAGCAGCTAAACAAAAAAGCGTTTTTTTAGCGGTATAGATCAAAGAACACCGAGTTATTTATAAGTTAGCGAAGATAAACAACCTTTACGAGACGACGAGTATACTTGCGACAAAGGTATTCTTAAAAGCTATTAGCGAAAAATGATTATTAACTTAAGCGTCGCTAGAGCTCGCAAAGATCATTCGAAACGACGAGCTATCATTGCTTTAAAAGCGCACTTTTTACGATTATCTTAACTAGTACGAAAGCTAAGTCAACGAAAAGACTAACAATTCGAACTCTAACCTTTTTAATATATTCGCTACTTTCGAAGATCAAACGACTCGTAGCACTTCCGAAAGTAATAAAGCTAACGACATTGCTCTTAAGCAATCCGGTAAACGCTTTAATAGCTTTAAAAGACCTGCTAAGGGTTTTAAGTGCTCGTGCTTTAAAAAAAGAAACTATTATTAAGACGCAATTAAGTGCAAGATCCTTCGTTATTGCTTTAATAGTCTTGACGAAAGTAGATTCGCAAAGCCGAACCGAAATAATATTATCGCTATAAAAAAGAAGCTTTAAAAGCTTAAGTTTAAAACGCTTCGAGAAAAGATTATTAAAAAAAGTTAAGCATAAATTTAAGTCGATAAGATCGTTTTAAAAAGTAAAAAAAAGCAATCGAATGATAGCGATAAGTCAAAATACTTTAAAAAAGTGTTAGCAGCTATCATCGATCTTAAGCTTTTTAGCACGCTCGATAATCTTATCCTTAACGGTCTTTATAATATAGCTAACAATAAGCACTAGCTATCTAATAGCACTCTTCTCGACAATTGCGGCGCTACTCACTTTATTAACGATAAGAATCTCTTAAAGCTAAAGTCAATTCAACGCTTTCGCTTAACCGACTTCATCGAAGCTAAAACGAGTAGTCTTTTAGTCGTCGAGCGAAGTACTAAAGTTTTTAAAAGAGCTTTAAACGGATTAAATAAAGCTAAAATAAAAGATTTAAAGTTAGAAAACGTCGTTATCGTTAAAGAGTTTAATATTAATATTATCTCGAAAGCTTTTTTAAGCAAGGCTAGCGTATAGTACTCGAAATATAACGCAACTCTCCGTTACGAAGAAGTCAAAGAGAGCGTCGTATTAAAAAAGTTAAAAAAGAAGTTTAACTTTACGTTTTTTAAATACAAGCTATTCAATTATTCTTTGCTTTAATTAATTCGTAGCTCTTCTTGCTTAATAATATTCTTTATAACTTAAAAGCGCTTGCAAACACGCTATAAATTTTAAAAGAGCAGTATCTTTCGAGCTTTAAAAAAAGATTCATCGATACTTTAGCATTTACAAATAAGTCATCTAAGCAAAAAAGCGCTCGAAGCGCTAACTTATAACGTTAAAAAAGTAAGACTTAAAAGAATTATTAAAGTTGAATATAAAGCATATGCTATTACGCACGCTTAATAAGTTATATCTCGCCGTACGTTAAACAACAAAGCAGCTAAGCTATTTTATAAGATCGCTTAAAATCTATTCGACTTCTTTAACGGTTTTGACGAAAGCAAATAGTTATTAATAATTAAAAATAAATATAATAAAAAGCTATTCGGCTTTATACTAAAAGACAAGTTGCAATTGACGGTTATAAAAGTGCTAAAAGAATTTAAAGCATAAACGAAACGCAAATACGGTCTTTTAATAGCTGTTATGCGCTATAATAACGATTCTTTAGTAATCGTAATCAACGTTATCGGCTTTATCGAATATCAAAGATAAGCGAAAGAAGTTAAGATCGAGTTAAAGCTCTTGCTATCTTTTAATTACGAACTTAATAAAAGAGTTAAAAAGGCTAAAAGAAAAGTAATAGAACGGTTTATTAAAATAAGAATAAGAGCAAGGCTCTTAGAAAAGCTTTAGCTTAAGACTATATTAGCCGCTATCTACTTTTATAATATAACACCGAAAGCGAAAAGCTTTATAAAGAGTCCGAATAAAGTATTACAACTTTAGTTCAAGCAATATTTTAAGTAATACGATCCGACGATTTTTATACGGATCGATACCGATTTAAGACTAGATTATAACGGTTTAATTGCGTATAACGCTCGTGCGTACTTAATAATCAAAAACCGAAAAGCTTTTCGCAATAAAAGAGCTTTTAAAATCAAATCGAAAAGACATATAAGCTATTTAGTTAGATATATAGCTTCTAATATATACAAGGTCTATGTTCTTATGCTTTATAAAGTGATTATCACACGCAACGTGACGTTCGATAAGACTTAATTCTATCTTAAAAACGAAGAAAAATCGGTCGGCTAATCGATTAGCGAAATCAAAAACATCGTTATTAAACTAAAAGATATTAAAGACTTTAATCAAACAAAAGACGCTTTATTTAATATAAAAAACGTTGCAGAAGATCGCTTAAAAGAAACGAATACAGCTAATATAAAAGGTAAGCAGCCGTCAAACCTTATAAAGGTTGACTTAAAAAGATCTAGTCAAAGCTTAAAAGATGCGACTTTATTTAATCCGAGCGATGCATAAACGTTAAGAGCTTTAACTTTAATTAAAGACTTTATAAATACGTTTATATTAAAAGCAATTGTTTTACGAGACGATTTAATAAACTTTAACGATTCGAACTATACCGCTAACCGTCTCGCCAGCTCTTTAGCTAAAAGCAAAAGCGAAAATGCCTTAAGACTGCCAAAAGCAAAGAAGAGCACCGTAGACGAGCAAAAACTTAACTTTAATAAAAGAGCGCGCAAATCATACTTTTAAGTTGTTATTTAAAGCCGAAGCCCGAAGAGTTAAGCTATAAGCCGACTAACGAAAGCTTTTACGTTAACAACCGGCGGAGATTCAAACCGAATAATTAAAAAGAAGCTATTAAACCTTTTTAAAGCGAGCACTAATAATAAAAAATTAAATTATAAACACTTTAAACAAAATTCCGACTTTAATAAAAAGCACTCATTTATTAATAACCGTATTAGAAAACGCGCGAAAATATACGCAAGTGTTAATAAGCTTTTTTTAAACAACTTTCGCGCCGATTCGAACCGCTATTCGCGCGTCTTAGACTTTATATCGACTTTTTAAATTAATAGCGAACCCGTGCGCGAAGATAATAAAGATTACGAAACATTGCACGCTATTATAGCAGCTGCTACTTCGTTTAAGCTATTATTAAAACAGCTTAACTCGCAAGAACGAAAATATTTAAAACCTTTTACTTATTAAAAAAAGCTATAACGACACTTATACGGCAAAGAGTTTAAAGACGAAGCTTTTATAAAGCTAAATAATTTAAAAAAAAAGAATTGCTAAAAAGTGATTTTCGAAAGCGAAGTTAAATTAAAACTTATACTTTTTAAGTAAGTATTTATATATAAGACTAGCTCGTCCGGAAAGATCGTAAAGTTTAGATCGAAGATTATAATTAAAAGCGACTTTTAAGACGAATCTATTATTTATTTAACTTACGCTGTTACGCTAACAGCTAGATCGTTTAAGATAATAATAATTATAGCAATCGAATTTAATTTAAAAGTAAAACAATTTAACGTCGTCAACGCTTTTATTAACGCTATAAGATACACGGATAGCGTTTTAATTACGTGTTATTTCTTTAACGGTTTTAAGCAAAAAGGTATGCTCGTAAAGGTCGATAAAGCTTTATATAAACTTAAAGACTCGCTAGCTTTATAGTATTTCGACTTTACAAGCATACTCGATAAATTAAAGCTTACGCTATTCGATAAAGAACCGTGTATTTTCACGAATCTAAACAAAACGGTCTTTATAACGTTTTACGTAGACGATATTCAAGTCATATATTATTACTTTAATCTTTTTAAAGCGCAAGAGATTATTAACGATCTTAATAAAGCGTATAAGATTGAAGCGATAAAAGATATTAAATAGTTTCTTAATGTAAGAGTCGCTCGAGACCGTTAGCGAAGAACGCTAACGCTTATGCACGACGCTTATATTGAAAAAATAGCTAAGAAATTCGAACTTACGGACGGACGCTGCTTAACAACTTTATTACCGTTTTATAACTTAATTAAAAATAAAAAGATAGCTTCGCGGAAGCAAATAAAAAAGTATTAAGAAAAGGTTAGATCCGTGTTATATACAGCGATCATGCTACGCTTAAATGTAGCTTTTATAGCCTTTCAACTTTCTTACTTTAACACTAATCTAAGCGCGAAGCACTTTCGAGCTGTAAATTAGTATTTACGATATTTATTTAGCTCGCGCTTTAAAGGTATTTAATACAGCTAATTTAATAAGTCGGAGCTAGTAATAGCTTCTGACGCTTTTTACGCCGATAACGAAAAGATAAAGCGATCTTCTTAAAAGTACATTATGTTTTTGTTCGAAAGTACGATCTTTTAGAAAGCTTTAAAGCAAGATATAATTATTATATTATTTATTAAAGCAAAGCTTCTTAGCATAGCTTTCACAGTAAAAGAGACTATAGCGCTTTAACGATTTTTCAAAGAACTGTACCTTCGATTTGCGGCGCTTTAAGTAGTCTATTATAATAATTAATAAACAATCAAGCTTATAGCTAATAAAAAAGAGCGTATCTTTACCAAGCTTCGCTACGTCGATATTCATAATATATAGCTACGCTAAAAGCACTTTAAAAAGAGCTTTTAAGTTCAATATCTCTTTACTAAAGAAATGCACGCTAATAGTCTTATTAAAAACTTGACTCGATAGAAGTTTAAAAGCTTTATCAAGCTTTTAAATTTATAAAACGCTCGCGCGTTCGTCGAAAAGTTTTAATAGCACGCTTATGCTATTCACTTATTACATTTCATTTTTTTTTTCATTTGCACGTGATTTAAAAGAAAACATTTATTTAGCAATCATAGCCGTTATTCTATCTTATTTTACACGCTTTTACCTTTCGCTTTTTATAATAAAAGATCAACCAAAGCTTTTAGCAATCTCTTCACTTTAGCCCGGCGCTCCGCAAGAGTTATAGCAATAGCGAGCGCCGCCGCGAGAGCGGCAAGCGCAACAATTAACGCAAAAAGAGCGACGATAATAAGTACGACGGAAGCGACGAGAGCTATAAAAGCGACGGGAGCAACAAAAGCGGCTAGCGCAAGCGCAAGGGCTGCTATAGCAGCAGATTAGAGCTTCTACATAAAGTCCGAGAGGAAGTTTTAATTAAAAAGAGCTGCTTAAATTAAATTATTTCGTAAATCAAAGAGCTTGATTTACGAAAGAGTAATATGCTCGAAGCGCTCCGCGTTACCGGACTACGGTTCGCTGCCATAAGACTATTCAATTTAATAAAAGCTATATTCAAATTGAAAGTCTTAAAAGCAAAAGCAAAACCTGCAAAGCTATCGAAACTACTTTTAAAACCTCCATTTCCACTCGCTAAACTTTCCGGACTACTAGCAGCACCTTTTAAAAGAGCAGCATCTAAAGCGAGCTATTATCGCATAGCATCTCGAAGACCTTAGCGAACTTTTTATATAGCACCACTATCTTTAACGCTTACGAAGTTATCGAAAGCAGTGTTAGCAGCGGCAAAAGCAACAGTGTAATTGCTATAGCTACTTTTAGCATACTAGAGACAGCGTATAACGCTCGTGTCGCAATTATAGCAGTCTTTATTAAACTTCGATGTGATCTTACTATTGATATACTTGATGCACCTTAAAGCTTTAACGGTCGTTAGCATAAGCAAGCGCTTAATAGAAAAGTCTAAGAAAGAAAGCGAAGCTTCGAAAGTAAAAGTGCGTAGTATAGCCGCCGTAGCCGCCGCAACTGCAGCAGTAATAATAGCTAAAGCAAAGAAAGGATTCTTTTAATAATCAGCATAAATATATTAATCTATTAAAAGCACTTACTCTTAAACGGCCTCGGCCGCGCTTAACGATTCTATTAGACTAAGTTACTTGCTTAAAAGGCATTGTATAGATAAATAAAGGTTGAGTGTTTGTTATAATAGAAACGGACGCGCTCTCATTTATATAGCAACGCGATAAAAGCGGCGCTAAAGACCTCCGCTACGTAATAAAACCGACTTGAAAAAGAATTGCATTTTTAACTGACACTTAATCAATAATAACAACCGCTATTTGTTTGTTTTAAACTGCGATAACAATTTCTTTTATTTATATCGAGTTTAAAAAGCTTAATCACTTATTTTTTTTCTTTCTTTTCTGTTTGCTTGCAGCTCAATAGCTGCTCTGCTAACTTAAAGAGTGTATTGTGCGGAACAAGCATGCTTTACCCAAGCTACATGTGACATGTCATGTGACCTCGCTTAATAGCGCCTTTAGCACACTAAAGCTCTTAGGTACATGTATATAGATCCTGACGAGCTTCTTAAATAGAATATACCAAGCTTCATTCAATCCACAGAATCTCCTCCTGATCTTAGTGCTAGTAAGCATTACAATAAGCTATTAAGCTATTATATTCTAATAATTCCCGATGCTAAGGAAAACGTAAAGGTCTTTTAAAGTAAGCTTATTTTAATAAACGCTTTAATTATTAAACGTTTAAGTCGAAATTGAAAAAGCAAGCTAGACTTTTTAACGACGCAAATTCGCAAACAACTTATCGCTTGCAATTGCTTCGAAGTAGCGATAAAAACTTTAAAAGTTTTTATTAATATCGACGGTATAATTAAAAGCAAATCCTTTTTCGATAATAGATTTAAAGTTAATATAATTAATAAAAAAGTTGCTTAAATAGCTAAATTATTTATTATAGCGGATCGAGCCTTATATTATACTATCGTGTTTAAAGATCTTTACAATTTTAATAAGTAGATAAACGACGTTAAAGTTATTCTTAGCGGGATTACTAATTACGCTGATTTCTTTATTATTAATAATAATCATTACGAAATCATTTTAAGCATGCTTTTCTTTCTAGAATCTTAATTCTTTTTTTTTAATCTCGATAACAGCACGATAAAAGCCTTTTTTTAAAACTACGATCGATCTATTTAAAAATAAATTACTATTATAAAAGATAAGTCGGATTTGATTAAAGACTCGAGAAAATAATAGCTAGCATGCAAGCTAAAATAAATGCTAAATTAAAAGGAAGCTTAAAAGGAATTTCTATTCGTAAATTATAATTTACGAATAAATCGGCATAAAAATAATAAAATTTAAAAAAAACAATTTAATTTAATATTAAGCAAGACTTATTAAATTGAAAAATATCAAAAATATTATCAAAAATATTTGCAATTAAATTCGATAAATCGAAAATTTTTATGTTTATTATCGATAACCAAAAAGACCTTTTAAAAAAAATATAAAAAAAATTGATATAATATATAAAAGAAAAGCGGAAAAAGTCAAACCGATAGATTTAAAAGTATCGAATAAAAAGATACTTAAAAGAATCGACAATTAGTTTAAGCAAATGAAAAAAGCGAAACTTTTTAAGCTTAAAAGACTTTTTTCGGAATACTTTATTAGCAGGTTTTTAAACTTAAAAGTTAAATCGAAATTAACGAAAAAGCGATTTAAAGTATTTACGATTAGCTTTTAAGTTATTCCGAAAGAAAGAGAATTGCTTTATTAATGCTTTTTAAATCGAAAAAAAGCGATAATTTCAGATTTTACTTACTTTAAATAAGTTCGGAATAAAGTCATATTATTTTAAAAGATTAAGACGATGCCGCACGAAGCTTAATAAAAAAAAAACGTTTACGGTATCGAAAGCTTTGCAAAAGATGGTTATTATTATGCTAAAAAACCGATTAAAGCAAAAAGTTTTCGAACCGTATTAAAGCTTTTATCGGAATAAATAATTTATTATAATAAAGAAAAAAAAAGAAAATACAAGCTAATCATTATTATAATTAAAATAAACTATATTAGGATTAAAAACGCTAATATTGCTTCGAACGTAAACTAATTTTCGAACGAATTTATTAGTCTTACGATAGCTATTTTATTGGATTTCTTTTTTAAATACAATTAATTTCTTTTCGACGTCGAATTTAAAAATATAATAGCTATTCAAACGCTTATCGAATTGCGTCGGATAATTCAAATACTTATAAAAGCTATTAAAATCGATCGTATAATTCATTAAAGTTATTTATAAGATCTTAATAAATTGTATCTTTAACGTTTGCTTATTTTATATAAACGACGTAAAAGTTAAAGGATCTCGATCTTTTTATAATTATAAAGAAGTTTTGCTTAAAATACGCCGATTCGTTTTAAAATACATTTAAAATATTAATAAAATACTCGTAAAGTTTAAAAAAGCTAAAACGATCATCGAAACGAAATCTTAATATTATATGCTAGGCTTTAATATTATTAAATTCGTTATCGATAGCGAAGGACTCTACTTTTAAACCGCTAAGATTAAAAACATTTTAAAATACATTAAATACGAAAATATTTCGAAAGCTCGAGCTTTTATTAAAATTATAATTTATTATCGGATTTAAATCAAAAACTTCTTTACGATTGCTGCTCCGATTTACGCGACGATAAAAAAAAGAATCGAATTCGAATAATTAAAACCTTAATAAAAAGCGATGAAGCTGCTTAAAAAAGCTTTATTCTTTGCCTTTGCTTTAATTAAGATCGATTATAGCAAAGAAAAAAAGAAGATTTACTTAATAATAAACGCTAATCTTAAAAAATAAAAAGTTATATTATAATAAGAAGACTTTAATAAAAAGCGATATCATAATCATGCTAAGTTTAAAAATAGACTTTAAAACTTAACTAAAAGCAAATACGACGCGACTAAGCGAAAATGCCGCGATGCTTTAAAAGTCATAAAAAAGATAAAAAGCGAATTATATAAAGTTTACTTTATTTTAAAAACCGACGCTAAAGTATTAATTAATTAATTTAACGGATCGGCGAGCGATTTGCTTAAAGCTTTCGTTACGAATTAGATTACGTAAATAAGATTAATAGGTTTCTTAAGCATATTTTTAAAACAAAAAATACAACGGCGGACGATCTTTCTAAGAAAAGAAAAAAGCATTTTTTAAATATTAAAGAAAAAATAAAAAAGATATTAACGATTAAATTATTAACGAACTAAGCATTATCTTAATATTATTAATTAAACGATTCGTAAACTATAATTTACGAATTGAAAAAAGAGTTTTAAATCACGATTATTCGCTCGAATTTAAATTTATAGCTTAATTCTTTATTATTCTTAAACGCTTTTTTTCGACCAAGACTTACGATTTCTAAAGGTTTAAAAATAAAGCACTTAACTATTTGATCAAAAATAGCTACTTTTATAAGCGAGCCGATAATTCTTACTCGATTAAGCTAATCGTCGATTAAGTTTAAAAACGCTATGCTATTTTTTCCGACGCTTATCGAGAATCCGGATATAAAAAAGCCGAATTAACTTATTATCGCACGTCAAAACTTTTTTTTTAAAATAAATGCTACGAAAACTGCAAGGCTTTCGTTTAAAACTATAAGCCTTATTAAAAACGCAAACTTAAACGAATAGAAAACCTTTTATGTTCGACTTAGCTTATTTAAATATAATTAAAAGTTAGCTTTAACGTATTATGAATCTTTATTATTGATAAAAAGATAATCTGCTTTATATTAATTAAAAAAGATTTATTTAAATAGCTAAAAAGACGACTACTTCGATTAACTAACGTTAAATCTATTGTTAAGTTTTTTTAAAAGGATATCGTTTGCCGTTACGAATTTTTTAAAAATTAATTATCGATGAAAGACTCGAAAATAAAGCAATTGCTAAAGCTTTTATTATTAAATACGAAATGAAAAAGGTTTAAATCTTAAGCTATAATTTGAAAGCAAATAAGATGATTAAAAGAAGATATAAAAATATTTTAAATAGCTTATCGAAAGTCATAAATAAAAGATTGAAGAATTAAGTTCGCAAATTTAATAAAATACTTTTTGCAATCCGGATATCGATATACGCATTTATTAAAATTACTCTTTTTTTCTCAAATTACGGACAAAAAGCTAAGCTACTTTTAAAATTACGATAGCTAATTTAAAAGCTGCTGCTATAGCAAAAAGTTCGATCTTGCGTTAATTTATTTATTATAAGATTCCGGCAACTAAAACTTTGAGACGAAGATATCGATAAGATCATTTTAAGAAAAAGGCGCTATCGATTCGCCGCTAAAGCTACTTAAAAACGAATTAAAGTCTTAAAATCGGAACTTATTAAAAAAAAAGACTTAATACTTTTTTACGACGTTAAACGAAGCATCGATATATCCGCGGATATTAAGCTAAATTATAAATAACTAAGACTTCATATCGTCTTTAAAGCTTACGATAAAAGATATTATAAGCTTTAAAAAACCGACGGGATTAAGCTTAAAAGCACTTTTGCAGCTAACTGCTTTAAACGATTCTATCGCCGCGATTAAATCCTTTTTTTTTAAAGATAACGAAGAAAAAAAAAGATTCGGGTTTTTTAAATAACTTAAATTTTAATGAATACAATGTTGGATGGCTTCCAAGCGATTGAGGAATATATATTCGTAACTTCGTAAGGTCGTTAAAGTATTTGCAATTGCAAAACACTCGGTTGATAAAGTATTTGAATTTTATTTACCCCTTAAGGTTCAAAGGAGCTGATTCCTTTTATATGATTAGAAGGAATCACGTGCACTAACTAACTAATAGTTTTACTTATCAAGTTAAGGGTCCTTTGACTAATGATATGCTAAGCGAAGCATGCCAAATGGCCCGTAAATCGTAGTTTGCGAGTAAGCTCTTTAACTATTATTATTACTACTAGCTAAGATCGATATAGATATACCGATACCGGCAACTCTTTTTTTAGTAAGCAATGCCTTGCTAACTATTATATCGACCGAAAAAAAAGAAGGTAATCGAACAAAGGAAAAACAATCTCACTCTTTTAAATCTTATTCTTTTTATAGCGGCCTTTCCACCTATCCGTCCACTTGCACTTTCAAGGTATTAATTGATACTAGCTCTTGCAAAGAAGCGTTAGCACCGATTTTAGTTATAGCGTTAGCAAAGTTGGATTTGCTTTCGATTTAGCGTACCTTAGATAATTCGC